AAAATACCTTTTGAGGTCATTAGATATGTAAACATGGTCCTCCTTAGGTAATAATTTCTCTGTGTGTGCAGTGTATGTATATGTATACATTCACTTGCAGACACACTCGTGTGTGTCTGTGCACATATGTATGCAGGTATGCACTCACATGTTTGTGAGTGTGGAGGCCAGGGGGCAACACTGGCTGTCTTCCTCAGTCACTCTGCACCTTATTTTTTGAGGCAGGATTGCTCGCTGCATGTAGAGCTCACAGATTGAGCCGAGCTGAGTGGTGGGTGAGCTCCAGGGACCTGAGCTAAGGCCTGCAAGCACTTTTACCAACTGAGCCATATCCCCAGTGCCAGGGTCATAGTTCCTAAGGTGCAAAGGACACATGTTAAAGTGGGTATTTCTAATAAGGAACTATTTTAAATTTAGAAACAATGTTAGACTTACTCCTGATCTTTCTCTCACTATTATCTGGTGCTTCCCCCACAAAGTGCCTTTGATTTTACTGATCAAATCATTGTGAAAGATTTATTTAATGCAGGCATATTCTTAAGCAAGAATTAAGTCATAATGTCAAGAAATAACCATTGTTAAGTTGGCATATTTTTCTGTCAGTGCTTATCATTCTGTGTCTTTCGGGGCTAATTAGCATTCATCATGTGACTGTGTAGTGAGTTTCTTTACTCTCCGTATGCTGTAGGTTGTTTCTGTCAGTCCCATAAAGTGTGGTGTGGTGGACACTGCGTATCTCCTACTTGCCCGTTAGTTTCCTGGTATAAATTCCCAGCTGTGAAACTGTTGGGCAAAAATCTGCACTTTTTCAAATTATGAGTTGTTTTAGCAAATTTTCTGAAATTGAACTTCCAAAGCCCTTCTGCAGGGTCTATTTTGTTCAGCAGTAGAGAGTGTCCTTTTTTCTCCACTTGCCTAGTGTTTCTGATTTTGAAAGTATCTGCAAATCTAATGACTAGCATGCTCATTTCTGTGAGCATTTCCTTCTTATTGAATTGTGCTGTACAGCGTGAGAGCAGTGCCATCTAAAAGGAGCTGAGGAGTTTGATTTGCATATTCCTTAGGATGGTGGCTCTGATATTGAAATGACAGTTTTAAGTCATAAAGTTAAGACTGACTGAGTACGTACATGAGCATGGACCCCTCCTGCCAAAGGGTCTCATCCATGTTGTTACTTGATTGAAACTGAGTGAGCCTTTAAAGTGTCTAGAAAGTGTGTGCTGATACAAATGCATAACTCCCTGAGAAGAAAGTTAACAATATCTATATTCCCTGCTTTATACAAGTCCATCAGTTTCTCGGGTTTTTTTCTTACCCTCTCCCAGGAAGCCTTTCAAACATTTTCCTCCTGCCTTCTGCCTTGATATACTGCAAGTCTCTTTATTCAGTGGCCTTTTAAGACAGAAGATAAATGCATGACATCTTCAGGTTTTGTTGGCCCTTCAAAGAACCATTGGGACAGTACTGCCTCTGTTCAGAATGTGTGGGGTATCTGTGTATGGTGTACAGGGGTGTGTGTTTGTGTATGTGTGCTTGTGTGAGTATTTGGGAGAGGGCCTAAAAACCTCAGCTACGCCTTTGTGACACCTTTGAACCCTTTGGTTTCTTGGGTCTCGGAGAAGTTAAGTGCGTCTGTTACTTTATCCATTGCACCGAAAGGAACATTAGAGTTAGTAATTACTTGTCCAGTCTATTTTCAAACTCTAAACGTATGCCTTGGAGTACCTAAGTTCTATGGAACATTTAGGTACAGTGTCTCTAGTCTTGAGAAGGTTGATCTACCAATGGCCATTGTTGAAGGCCTGTGCTGTGTTTAGGGAACAGTTGCCCCACTGTGTTGTAAGTAATGCTGAGTGTTCAAGCCTCAGCCCCATTCATTCTCTAACAGTAGTCTTACCCCCAGGAATATCTGGGAGCATTTTTCATTTCAGGTCAGAACTGGAAAGGGAGTAGGTGTTCTTTGTAACATCTAGCAGTGGATTGATGGGACATTTGTCCCATCACAAAGAATTGTCGGGTCTAAAATGTTGCTGCTGCCAGTGCTGGGAAGGCCTAAGGTAGCATAGTGATTTCATCCTGGAATTAATCTTTAGAAGATAATCCATGTAATGTTCTGCATTTGCGTGCATGAATACGTTTTCAGCCATTCCTGTATCACTATGTATAATTATGAAATATAGGGGACAAACTTAGTTGTTTTGAGTCTAAGGAAAAGATTTGATTGCCCAGGGGCAGGTTTACATGAATTTCAGGAACTCAAAGTCTTCAGAGAAGGGGCCAGCAAGATGCCTCAGCAAGTAAGACACTTACTACTATGCAAGCCTGATGACCTGAGTTCAAGCCCCAGAACCCACATAAAGGTGAAAGAGGGAATTAACTCCATAGAGTTGCCCTTAATCTTCACATATGCAGTGTGGCTCAAATAATAATAATAATAATAATGTTTTTTTAAATCTTCAGAGAAAACTCACCCATTTCAACTCTTTTAATATTTTGTTATTTTTATTTTATTTGTATGAGTGCATTGCCTACATGTATGTATTTGTACCTGTGTTGTACAATGCCGCAGGATGTCAGAAGAGGGCATCAGCTCCCCTGGAGATACAGTTGTTAACTACCATGTGGGTGCTGGGAACTAACCCAGGTCCTCTGCAGGAGTAGCCAGTGCTCATAACTGCCATCTCTCCAGCCCCTCATTTCAGCAATTCTTTACAACTCCACTGAACTTCTCTTTCCAACCCTGAATTGAGGAACTGTATAAACAGTTATCAGGCATGTTACCAACCTTTTATTTCTTTGTAGAAAAAATATATCTGAAAAGTTTGGTGATATGAAGCCAACTGTAGTTGGTACATAATCCCAACACTCAAAAGGCTAAGGCACAAGAATCATGAGTTCGAGAGCAGCCTGGGCTACATAAGGAGTCTAGCTTGGGTTACATAGTGAGACCCTGCCTCAAAATATATAAAAAATAAAGTAAATAAAATGGTAATAAGTAAATGGATTGAATCTCAGTGGGTATGCTGTTTTGTATATTTATTTACTTTTCCTTTATTTTGGGACTATTACAAGATCACATTTTAAAAGTAAAGAAATGTACTTTTAAATTGGTATGTGTTTGGACAGAGACAGAATTAGAAAAACCTTTGTAGGAGTCATAATTTACAATGTCTGTATAATTAAATAATAACAAATGGCTTCATTATCACCACAGCAAGTCAAATCATTTCCAAGGGCTTGCTTTCACTTTGTGTTTGGAATGTTAATGTTTCTGAAGGCATTCAGGATTTACAGAATGTTAAGAAAGGCAAATGGTTCTTGAAATCACTCAAGGAATGTCTGGGATGACCAGGATAGTTCACCAGGCTCATGAGTTGCTCATCCTTTTCCAGTCTGCAAATTAACAGAGAAGAATAAATATATTTCGAGAGAAACCACATTATGCATTAAAATAAACAAAGTCTACTTAGTTCTTAAAAGGAAAGTTGCTTAGTCCTTGATAATGATGTGCCAGAGGTCTATTTCATAGATACTGAGCATCATGAAGCGTTCTGGTCTGTGTTAATTATTTAAAGCTAGTAACCTTTGCTTTTGCATTTCAAATTTTGTAAAAGTTCATTGCCTCTGAGATATTAGACTTGACTTTTCTGTTAGTATAGTGTTCTTTTTTACTTTGTTATAGCCAGGATAAAAAAATAAACCTAACCTAATGTGATTTGTTCTTGTATAATAAAGGTGCTGGCAGCATAAACAGTATCAAGCATGTGTTTTTCTCTTTTTTAAATATTCTGTTTATTTTTATTCTCTGTATGAGTGTATTGCCTGCATGTATGTCAGTGCACCCATGTTGTCCAGTGCCCACAGAGGTCAGTAAAGGGTGTTGGATCTCCTGGAACTGGAGTTATAGATAGTTGTTAGCCACCATGTAGGTGCCAAGAATCAAACCCGGGTCCACTTTAAGAGCAGCTAGTGCTCTTAGCCACTAAGCCATCTCTCCATCCGGAAACGTGTTTTTCTCTAGCTCTCCAAGACTGTCCTGTTACTACAGAAAATAGCTGTATTCAGATTGTGATAACTTACCCTAATGAAGTAGATTTTACTTGGATTTATCGTCATTGCCTTCAGAAATGTTTGGTGAAAGATATGCTATTAAATTGTGTGTCAGGAAGGGGAGTTTAATATTATTTTAGATTTTTGAGACACTACTGTTAAAGGATAAAATTTTAAAGATACTGATCATTACCCAGAGGAAATATAGCATGTAGGCTGTTAAAATTTTTTGCTAAGATTAGAAAATAAATGTAAAGCCATCATATATAATGAAGAGATTTCTATCATGAATATTTTTACTATTAGTTGGCTTTTTTGTTTTGTTTTTAAGGGAATGGTATCTGGAGTCACTAAGTTTAGATATGGTGGTAAGAGGGTAGAAGGTCATTTTCTCAAATCAAGCATTTAGTGAGCTACTGTCATGGATCCTGTATCAAACCAAAATTTAGACCAGAAAGCAAGGGAGTCAGTGCATTTTGCTTAGCAACCAGCTAGTTGTCTCATGTTGTTACCGAGACCCTGTAGTCATGCCTCATGCACATCTTCAGCCAGCTGGCATTGACAGACAAGACTTCATTCACCAATTTCTAGACTATTCGGGCAGGGACTTTAGCTTGTTGTATTTAATCATGAGGAACTACATTTGTAAACTTTAGTAACTTGCTGATTGCCAAAGCCCCCGTACCATATGAAACTACTTCCAGCTCAGGGAAACAGAGCCCTCGGGACTCAGAATTGCTTCACTGTCATTCTGTTTCCCTCTTAGCAGCACTTGGCACATAGATTATTTCAAAACCATAGTTGCTAAAATCCTAGAAAACAGCAAATATATCTTAGTAAAAACAGTTAAATTCTAAGACAATTATAGAAAATCTTAAAATGAAAATTTAGAACATTCCATTTACAGATGTTGATCATGTACCTTAATCCTCACATATTTTCTCTCTTAGAAAACAGCAGTTTTTTTGGCATGTGAAGCTCCAGTTTCCTCAGAGTCAAGCCGAGTACATAGAGAAAAGGTACAGTATCACCACCGCTGGTTGAGATTTGCATTCATTTCAAGACTCTGTAATTAGACAGTGAAGTGGTGGAATGCGTCACTTAAGTTGTGATATAGCCACACAGTGCAGTAGCACTGAAAAAGAGCGCTAGCTGCACAGTGTCTGTGAATTTCAGCTGTAATGTTGACTAGGAAAAGCAGTTAAGGAAGAGTACATAGAGCATGGTGTAAGTTCTGTGTAAGTGTGTGCAAGAAATCCCAGCCACTCGTGGTGGTACAGGCCTTTATTCCCAGCACTGTGAAGTGACTTCAAGCCCAGCACTCTTGTGAATTCAGGACCAACCTGGTCTACCTAAGTGAGTTCCAGGCCAGCCAGGGCTGCATAGTAACACCCTGTTTAGGAGAGGAGAGGAGAAGAGAGAGGATGAGGGGAGAGAGAGGAGGAGAGGAGAGGAGAGGAGAGAAAGAGAGGAGGAGAGAGGAGAGGAGAGAGGAGGAGAGGGGAGAGAGAAGAGGAGAGGAGAGAGGAGGAGAGGAAAGGAACAAGGAAAGGGAAAAGGGAGAGAAAAGAAAAGAAAAAGTCCTTCAGAAACCAAGTAGTATACAAAGGAAGTAGACCTTAGATTGGAAGAAATAAATCACAGCAGTAATTATTTGAAAAGGGAATATAGGTATTAAGGAGAGGGATGTAATCTGAATTAGGAGGGCTGAAAATTTTCTGTTTCTTAGACTGACTGGTTGTA